TATGCATTTCAGGCTGGCCTTCAACTCACTTATGTAGCCCAGTCTTGCCTCCAACTCAGTGATCCTCCTGCCTCAGCCTCCCAAGTGCTGGGATTATAGGGGTTCACCACTATATGGGTTCCTCTCCCATTTCACTCTTCAGCCGTCACTCCGGATTCCCGGGGCCTTCTGTGCTGGGGCTCGGTTGAGTGTCATAGAGCCAGAATAAACACAAACCCAGGCCTTACCCAGGCCGCTCACTCTTGTAGAGGAAACACTGGATTCCAGAGCCTTGGTTGAAATCCCAGAGTCTGGGAGAAAGGACAGAGGCACTGGAGGAAGCCAGTGGTTCCACATCCGCCTCAGTATTCTCTCCACAAGTGTTGCCTTCCCATTTGTTCCTAGACTGTTTTCCCCCCAGTCCCAGAGGTTTCGGTGCGGTGGGTGAGGGTCTGTGAGCTGTGTCAGGCAGGGTAAGCCGGGAATGGGCAGCAGCACTCCTGAGTGCTGAGGGGGGGCGGCGGGGTCCAGGCTCGGCCTGAGCTTCCTGGGAACTGGTAGAAAAGGGAACCAGATCAGTTACGTTGATTATGATGTTTATGAGCTTTTTAAAAATTTCCCCCAAAGCTGGGCGTGGTGGCGCACACCTGTAATCCCAGCACTCAGGAGACTGAGGCAGAAGGATCATTGCGAGTTCGAGACCAGCCTGAGCTACAAAGCGAGTTCAAGGCCAGCGTGAATTGCAAAGCAAAACCCTGTCTCAAAGAGACAAAATAAAACAAAACAAAACACAATTATTAAACTGAGTGTGGTGCCACACACCTGTAATTCTAGCACTCAGGAAGCTGAGGCAGGATTGCCATGAGTTCAAGGCCAGCCTAGGCTGTATAGTGAGTTCAAGGCTAGTCTGTACTACAGAGCTAGACCCTGTATCAATACTAATACTAATACTAATAATAATAATAATAATACACAGTTATTTTGCTAGTTGGCAAATAAGCGACAGAACTGATATGATTTGCTCAGAATCACGTGGCTAAGAAGTTTGTCTCTAAGTCCTGGGGTTAAACATGCTGCACTTTAGAGGATGACAGCTGGGTCCCATGCCACCTGGAACGCAGACTGAGAAGGGAAAATGAGGCATTAGAAATGGTGATCTGTGCTGGGAAGGAAACGTGAGGGCTGGGATCATTTAGAAAGAAAGAGGGTCGGAACAGTCAGCCACAACTGGAGTTGGCCTGTGATCCCAGCACAGTGGGAGGCTGAGGCAGGAGGATGGAAAGTTCCAGCCTAGCTTGGGCAATTTAGTGAGACCCTGTGTCAAAATAAAAAAAATAAAAGAGTGGGGTTGTAGCTCAGTACTGGGGATTCAATCCCTAGTATGGTAAAAAAAAAATTATTTAACACAAAATATTAATAATGCTTGCTGGGCATGGTGGCACATGCCTGTAATCCCAGCACTCAAGAGGCTGAGGCAGGAGAATTGATGTGAGTTCGAGACCAGCCTGGGCTACAAAGTGAGCTCAAGGCCAGCCTGAACTGCATAGTGAGACTCTGTCTCAAAGAGACAAAGAAAAAAAAAAAAAAAAAAAAAAAGACAAAAAGAAAATGGAGGAATGCTTGTTTTATTTATTTCTAATTGGGTAGTTTTGCATTTTGCTACTAAGTAAAATTAACAAGTCTAATATATCGCTTCTCGGCCTTTTGGCTAAGATCAAGTGTCGTAACAAGTCTAATAGGTTTGCTTTGACAGAAGGGTGAATCCTTTCCACAAAGACACTTAACTCTTTTTATAACTTAGAAAAACAAAAACAAAACAAAGTCTCCCTGCACAATTTTCACTTTGCTTTCATAACTTCAGCACCTTGATTCTTCGAATTTTTCTCTGTAATGTGCTGTTCTAACATGTCCTATGCATACTTACGGACACTCACATATCGAGGTGGCTGCCCGCCAAGGCGAGTAGCTGCCATTCTTGGGGGGCGGCAGAGGGCCTGGCAGGGCTCCCTGCGCCTGTGATCACTCAGCCCCTTCACGGAGACTGTAGGAGGGGAGCAGATACAGGGACAGACGCCTGAGCCGTGCCGCTGGGAGCCAGGACCCAGCCACGGGCTGCGGGCTGCCTTGGGAGCTGCGCTGCGCCCGGGGATCCTCAGCGAGCACTGGCCTCGGGGCCGGGCCCACTCATCCAGCACAGGACAGGGCGCCGCAAAAATCTGAGCACACCTGACCCCCAGCCCACGCCCAGGGCTGCTGCTGTCCGGTCCCCTGAAGACAGAGTAGTGAGATGCCGTGGGTGACAAGCTGTGGCCATTCACTGAGCAGGCGTTCCCGCGGGGCCGGAGGATGAGCAGGACCTTCCCAGGGGAGGGTGAGGGAGATGGTGGGGGAGGCGATGCAAAGAACAGACGTGGAGGCCACAGGGCACTGGTGGTGCGGCCACTCCTGAACCCCAGGAGTGTGGTTCACTCACTTCCACCTTGTAAATACCCCATCATGGTTGACTCCAGGGACCAACGTAAAGTCTCTGAGTGCTGTGGTTTATAGCTAGACGTCCCCGCAAAGTCTCCTGTGCTCAGATGTGGGGCTCTTGGGAGGTGATCGGATCATGGGTGTGTAGTACCCCCTTCCCCTGAAAATAAGACCTAGCTGGAAAATAATCTGTCTTGTTTTCAAGGCTGACTATTTTCCAGCTAGGTCTTATTTCCAGAAAAACATGGCTCTAGGTCAGTCCACTGGTGAGTTTACAGCTGGGTGTCCTGCTGCGGGTGAAGCCTGATGGGAGGAGGTGGCCGCCATGCAGAGCCCGTCCTGGAGGGGCATCTCCTTCCTCCTCCCTCCACCGTCCTCTGCTTCCTGCCTGCCCAGCCTCCCCTGCCCCGCCCCTGCACCCGCCCAGAATGGGCTGAAGCCTCCACACGCTGTGAACCCAAATCACTCTTTCCTCCTGCAGCCTGTGGGTGTCGGGCCCACTAAGGAGAGGCCTGCTGACTAGCTCAGCGTCACGGCAGCTCCTGGGGCCTGGGCGGGTCCCACAGTTTAGGGGAAAGCCAAGCAAAGCTCTGCAATCAAGACAAATAGTCCTCCGGCGCAATATTTTTCAGGACAATATTTTTAAAAAATCACAAGAATCTACAGTGAATATTAAAAACTTTTTTTGTTTGGTACTGGGAATCGAACTCACGACCTCAGGCTCGCCAGGCAAGCACTTATGCCACTGAGCTATATCCTTGGCCCAAGATATTAAAAACTTAAAAAAAAAAACTTTTAAACACAGGGAGCTGGGGATTTAGCTTGGCGGCACAGTGCCTGCCTGGCAAGCACAAGGTCGTGAGTTTGATCCCCGGTACCGGAAAACAACCAAAAATACCAAAAAACACAGGATCTACCCTGGTAGTCACATGACTCCCATACTGTAATTATGGCCCCAGTTCTAGTAAAACTTTATTTACACAAACAGCTGGTAAGCGGCTGTGATTCACTGACTTCTGAAGAAACATTATGTTAAGGTCATATGTATATAGTGTTGGGCATAGAACCCAGCGCCTTCCCGGTGCTTGGCAATTACTGTGCCACTGAGCTACACCAGAGCTCTAAAACCTGTCTTCCATACGAATATAATGGATGTAAATAACCTCAAGTGGATTAATAGTAGTAAAATAGGAAGTGAAGAATTTTGAATATTTTGCCTTTGTTTTAATCTATTTAATTGTATATGGAATTATATTTAATTGTATATTTAATTATAGATTTTTTTTTGTATTGGGGATTGAAACTAGGGCCTCACACTGATACATATCTCAAAGCTTTTTATTTTTTGAGACAAAGTCTCACTAAGCTGTCCAGGCTGGGCTCCAAATTGCTATTGTCCGGCCTTAGCCTCTTGAGTAAATGGGATTACAGGTGTACAACACTGCCCAACAAAAATTAACTTTTAAATAATGACCCGCTTACAAAATTCGTGAAAATACAGCAGCCAGGAAGATCAAGCACCTGGTGTGTCCCCCGTGGCTACAGGTTGTGCCCAAAGGGCTGAGAATATAGCTCAGCAGTACAAGCGATTCCCAGTACCGAAAGAAAGAAAGAGAGAAAGAAAGTGGCTGTGACCAGAAAAGGTATGCAGGAGTCTGCAGGCTACCTCACTTTAATTTGGATTCATCAAGGTTCCATTCTGTTGTGCCTTAATTTTATTTTAGTTTTCTTTTTTTTAAATTGAGACAGGGTCTCGCTATGTAGTTCAGGCTGTCCTCGAACTCGCTATGTAGCCCAGGCCGGCCTCGAACTCAGACAATCCTTCTGTCTCCGCCAAGCCCTCCTCATTAGGCCCCGCCCCTTCGCCACACGGTTGTCCTGACAACCGCGTCCCCACTCACCTCAGGTAAGCCTGGGGGCGTTCCTCAGCGCTCCCATTGGCCCAAAGTTCAAAGAAGGAGGTTGTACTTCACATTCGTTGGCCAGTTGAGTTGGGCGGGGCAAGGCATCGCGTTCCCATTGGCTGATTGTCCAAGGGAGGCGGGTCCTTGGACAGCGGTTGGGGCGCGGTTGGGGGGCGCCGGCAGGACCGCAACCTTGAGTAGCGCGCTAGACGCCCGCACCCCGGTATCTGCAGGATAAAGGTGAGGAGGGGCGCGTGGAAGAGCGAGGGCAGGAGGTGAGGAATTTCGAGCGGCGGCGGGATGCAGAAGTTTGCGCTTCGCAGGGTCTGTCCCGCGGGGCCATGACCACCCCGGCGGGCTCGGGCGCGGGCTTCGGCTCGGTGTCCTGGTGGGGCCTGTCGCCGGCGCTGGACCTGCAGGCGGAGAGTGAG